ACCTGGTGGCTTTTGAAGAAGATAAAACTGCATCCCGCCGCAACACATCTTGATCTGGCATTCACAGAGCGTGTTTAGAACAGTGATTAAAAATCTTTTAGCTAGAAAGCACGTCCAGTCATCTTTGACAAAAAGCACTGCTGGGGACTTCTGTCCTTAAAGAGGTCACCACAGGATACAAAACGGAGAATGAACAGGTCTTCTGCACAAGGCACACTTAACATGTTGCCATAGAAACCTGTTACTTAATTCAGGCATACACAATTCTTCCAGCCCCCAGTGAATTCCAGTAATGGGTTTATTATATCACACTTCAGTGGTGTCATCTGTCACACAGACACTCACATAAACGAACCAGCCTTTGATTCTAAACTCCCTTCCACTAGCTAGGCCCAACAGGGGAAGGGTCTCCGTTTGGGTCTGGTGGTTATAATCAGGTCAGTGTTCTACCCCGCTCTGCATGGTAATGCCTTCCTTTCATGCAAACATCATCTTCAATGGAGGAGAACATTGGTTTTCCTTTCCAGATATTCCAGTTTATTACAAATGTGCTCTTAATTTCTTAGATCCTTGAGTGCACATGCTGTCAGGATCCAGGTTAAAACATTTTGGTCCTTATTTCCCCCATGTGATGTTTGAACTGCAAGTCACACTAATGTCTGATGCAACCTTGTGGTAATTTCTCCTTTTATTTGGACCAGAGTTTTGATTTACATTAGCTGACCTGAAGGTTCCTTTTAGGCTCCATGACTATATAGTACAGTGCTTTTAAATTAGAAAAACATATGGATGGACAAGCAGATTAAAAATGTCTCAGTTATGGAATCATAGAATCACAGAATGGCAGGTGTTGGAAAGGATCTCTAGAGATCATCTAGACCAATCCCCCTGCCAAAGCAGGTTCACCTACAGTGGGTTGAATAGGATCACATCCAGGCAGGTTTTGAAGATCTCCAGACAAGGAAACTCCACAACGTCTCTGGGCAGCCTGTTCCAGTGCTCTGTCACCCTCAAAGTAAAGATGTTTTTCCTCATGTTCAGATCAAACTTCCTGTGTTCCAGTTTCTGCCTGTTGACCCTTGTCCTGTTGCTGGGCACCACTGAAAAGAGTGTCCTTTAGATATTGATAAGCATTGATAAGATCCCATCTCAGTCTTCTCTTCTCCAGCTAAACAGACCCAGCTCTCTCAGCCTTTCCTCACAAAAGAGATGCTCCCGGATCATCTTCAGAGCCCTCACCTGGACTCTCTCCAGTAGTTCCTTGTCTTTCTTGAACTGGGGAGCACAGAACTGGACGCAGCTGATGCATAAGACTCCATGCAAGCAGTGCCTGTAGATGCACTTACAGTAAATGAACAGACCTTAGAAAGGTTAGGTTGGTTTTAGTTCATGATGTTATGTTGCAGGTTGGTGTTGATGAGCATAGCAGTAACTATTCTGCCTTAAGAATACTTAAGAATGTTTTCATTTAAGAGTAGGACAAAGATTAGAAGCATTTGTTTCCCATTGAATAGATAATTTCTTATTGTGATAGAAGTCAACAGACAAAGCGTAGGGTATTTAAGAGACCAGTCAGGACTTAAGAAATGCTAGTGGAAGATTTTCACTGAAAAACATTTATAAACATAGAAAGTTAGGTGTTGATTTTGTGGTGATTCATATGAAGCAAATGATGTGTAGGCAACTGGCAGTGAATAAATTGTTTTGTCTCCTAGACCAGAAATCATCAACAGAGCAAGTTCATTGCCAGAAGCATTAAGATGGGGAAACGCAGGATCTCGGATAGATAGATAGATTTTAGCTGCAGAAGTACTCTGGATCTGAATAGGAGTAAGGACTTAGTAAATGCTGGAGTAAAAGAAAACTCCAAAAGATACATTAGGAAGTCACCTCCTTGCATTTCTACAGGTTTGTTCCCCATGACACCTTCCGCCTCAGCTGTGTCTTATCTGAGATGGAATGAAGCCGTGTGACCCTGTCAGAGGTGAAAGATAAGGGATAATCTACAAGAGACAAGGGATACACATTAACTTAGTGATACATATTGTTCTGTTGTGACATTGTCACATCACTCACCCAAATGTCTTTTGCTTCGATTCTATTCTCCTAAAAGGTTATCTTCTGCCAAGTTTCCCATCGTGGTCCCAGGAAAAGCCTCTTCCAGTGGTCTTTGAAGAGCCACCAGAGTGTGCTGACTCAGGGAGGTGCATCTCAGTTTATAGATGCACTTAAATTACTGCAGCTCTACTACCTTCTCCTTTCACACCTACACTCTCAGTTCTGGTAGCCAGATGACCCCAAATCTTGTTTCATGATTTGTCCCACATGGGTTTTAAACCTAAGTGTTCTTAGCAAACCATCTCTCTTTTTGATTCCTTTTGTTCCCTGTTAGAAAGGAAATTGTGTCTCTTCTCCAAGTGAGTAGGACAACATCCAAAAAAAACCTGAGTGTCATGCAGTGGAAATGACTTCAACCCCCTCAGTAGAGAAAACCAGTATTCATGTCAGAGAATTAATTAACATTTAAGTTGGAACGGTTTTGATCATTTTGGAAATGTTGTCAGCTTGTGATGTGAGCTCCTCAGCAATCCAAGGCTTAGCCAGAATCAGTAACTGGATACGGCAGAGTGGAGATGAAAGAGAAGCAGAGAACACTGCACGAAGTAGTGGTGGGGATTCAATCAGCTTCTTTCCAAGTCAGTTGTGAGAAAGTGCTTGAGGGGATGCCCTGCTGACATCTGTGACATCTTAAAAATATGATTTTAAATTGCAGTTCTGAGGTGCGTGGGGAAAGCTCCCGTGAGACTTGTAAGTGTGGCAGTGCTGCTCAGGCTGACCTGATCAGGTATCACTTTAAATAACTACACTCTGCCTTCCTCTATTGTCATTCACAAAAGAACTTTCAGTGTCATGTTGCTGACCTGAAAAGCCTGATGCTTTTGCGCCCTTGACATAGTGGCATTTCGTGGATTGATTAAGAGGTCTCTGTAAAGTGTGTCCAGGACTTCAGAATCCTTTCGGGTTAATGTGCTGTGAAACAGTATTTGTCTCGTTCTCTGTTAAGTTGCTGCACAGATTCCTGTGTGCTGCTTTTCAGCTCTCTGTCCCGTGGAGGAAGTGACCTCTGTATGTATTAAATTCATGTAACAGTTCATGAAAGTATTTGGGATCTGCAAGGGTATAGCCTGTAAATATATGACTGTTCTTACTATTACTATTGTTTTCTATCACGTACAACCACAGCGTAGATTGATTAAGCTTACACATTTTCATTTCAGTGTACTTACTGCCCAAGTTGACAGAATCATTTTGACACTCGTAATCACAAAGGCTTGTGTTGGATGAATGTTTTATTATTTGATTTTCTGCCATCCACTTCTCAGATTTGTTGTAGCAGCAACACATGGTCTTAATGATATTCCCCAAGGTGAAGTAAGCACAAAAGCCAACATCGTGCAGGGCAACAGGGGATACTGTACTAGAAAAGGAAGAGTTGTTTTGCATTTAAGGCCAAGGCATTTGCCTCAGACCCTGTATTCTCTTCCTTACTCAACCAGAATTGTCCTGTTTTACCATGAAACACTTCACCTTTCTGTGCTGCTCTTTCCTCATCTGTGAAACAGCAACAGGACTCTGATATGTGTCCTGAAGATCATTAAAAGGATCTTGCAAAGTGCTTCCAGGTTTTTTGATTGGAAGGCACACAAGAGTGGAAAATCATATTACTTGCCTAGATTCTCTATTGATGTGGCAAATTGTAATCTCCCTACAGAAGACATTTGGATGTATTTGACTTAAATGTATCATGATAACTGACCAGCAGAATTCCTGCTCCAGGAACAAGACACTTTAGTAGCCAGATGATCTGCTCCACATTTCTAATATGCAGAGATGTTTCCCATCCTGTTGCACAAAGATGAACTCAGTCTCTCCTTACTGCTGTTTCCCTGTCTCAGGTATAGCACACTGGTTTCTTTCTTCTCAAGTGCATTCTGAAGTGCACAGCTAAACCACTGCGTTTTTGAAACCTATCTGGACCATTTACCTCACACCTGAGCCTAATTTGCAGCAAAGTGTTACTGCCAAACCTGCGTGATCACTTCCAGACAGGGAAACCAAGAGGATTGTGATTTCTCTAAGGAAGAGAGAAGGAAGTGAAAGGACTCCAGCCTCTGTTGTGACTATAGGTACATCTTATCATCTCCCTTTGTGCCTGCCTGTCTCCTCTATAAAATGAGACCAATTATATTTACTGTCTTTCCTATCTAAACTGTTTCAAGATTGATGAATGAAAAAGGTTACAACTAAGCTAAGTATCTGATTACTAACCAGTCTTTAATGTTCTTTTCAGAGGAATTTATCAAAACAATTGTATATTTATTTCGAAAGAAAGCCTTCTGCATATGTTTAATGGCACATCAGAATATTCACACCAAGGGAGGGCCTTTTCCCACTGTTGAATATTGAAATCTGGCTGCTCAATCCCTCTCCCTCCTGTGAACGATTTCATTTCTGGAGCCTTTGGCTCAATACAGTCACAGTGGTCACGCCCAGCAAAAAAAGTTACACTAAACTTAGGGGTAGGGTGTATTTAAAAGTCATTCAATCATCTGGAACTTTTCATATGGAGAAGAAACAGAAAGACCATGCAGTTCCTGTCATCCTAAAGTAGGAAAATATTTTGGATAAATCAGACTCTGTAAATGTATATCTCCCTACGTCTGTTTTGTTGGAATTCTCATTCAGTTATTAGCATCTGCAATGTAAAATTAGGCTATTTTAATCCTATTCTATGCAATTATAATAAAAGAAATCTGTTAAAGCATTTCCATTCATTTTCACTGATATATAATTTCTCTTCTTCTTCCCCTTTATTTTCTTAACACAAAGCCTTTGGGGATGGGCTACCTTCCTCAGTATCTCTTTGAGCACACATTGATTTTCAGCCAGTCTTCAGCTGTTTGACATTAAGATTAGTCCAAACCTCAGTTATTGCTTACCTCTCCTCTGGTGCAGGGCACTGCATCTGAATACCTGGAAGTGCACATGGAGCCCTCCTCAATGAGATCATCCTGGAGCCCAAAAGTTGCTGTACAGTTGATAGAGAAATACTTGTAGGGCCTCCAAGTCTGCCCATAGTCCTGGGATCTTTCCAACACCATCGCAGCTGGGCGAGGTGACTTGAACACAGCAATGACATGGGTCAGGTAGAATTCTGTTTCGAAGTCCAGTCTGATTTCTTCCCTGTGTACCCCCTGGGCAGACTGCCACCAGGAGATGGGGTTTGCAAAGAAATCGTCTGTCATGTCAGCTGGGAGATGGGAGTTATCAGGCTGGTTGGCATTGCATTTGGTGCAGCGAGGCTGCCCACAGCCGTGTGAGACCTGATGGAGGAGATTCTGGTCTGGATAGAAGCAGTACAGCTCAGTGCTGTTCTGGCCACACGTGGTGAGAGTGACTGGGGTCCTCCCTGTTGCAAGGTTTCCCACTGGAGGGTTGCAAGAGCGACCATTACAACGGAAAGCTTGTAGCTTCATGGGATCTGAAAGACAGGAGAAAGAAACACAAGTAGAATTTCTCAAATAGCTCTAAGGCTGTAGCACAAGTAACCATGCAAGTGGTTGGAGTCCTCATCTGGGGACTGACATCCAAGAGGACTCGTTCTAAGGAGAGCTACTTCATCTTTTCATGCTAAGTTTGGAGAGAGTTTCTCAATAAATCTAGTACTTGGTTTTGGTACCGAACTCAGAAATTGAGGTCTTTAGAAAATTCATGCTTATGGCACTTAACTTTGATTTCTGTTGAAAATGCAGTTGTGTTGGTCTATTGACTTTTATGTTTAACCACAGAAATTTTGTGTTTTCTTACTTTGACTCTAGTAAAGCTCTGCATCTGAGGACTGAATCTATTAAATGCGTTTATTTTCATTGTTATCAGAAAGCAAAGTCAAACTGTACTGTACACTGTAGGCACATTAAGAAAAATGATGATTCCTGCCCAACAAATTACAGAAACTAATTACACATACAAACACATAAAGAAAGCATATATTTCCATAGTTAAGTGTTACTGGCATAATTTTGAGGGGTGTTGAGTTTCTACTGCTCCTTTTGAGATCAGCTGGAGCTGTTAATCATGCTTAGCAGAGCTGCAAAGCAACTCTGTCTTTTGTTTAAAGACCTTGACATGGAGGTAGGTGACTATACTCTGTTTGCTAAGTTTGCAAATACTAGCAAATTTTTGGTATCTTCAATGTATTTGTCTACTTATTTCTAAATTAAGAAAAGGTAGGGATAACTCCAAAGTCTTAATATTTTTTAGAAATCAGTGGTGTCTTGTGACACTGGAATTAAAGGTCATTCCAAAACCTTGTTACCATAATGGAGAAAACAGTTTTTCTAATGACATACAATGTCCTCTTTGCAATATAACAGTGTAGAAGGAGTTAAAGACTGACCTTGCAAGGTCATAAATCTAATCCAAGAGGTCACAAGTCAGATGACTGGATGTAAGTCCTACAGGAAATGACCCTTCCAATGAAACATAGGATGACAGTAAACCCTGGGTAATCTAGGAGCAGTTCAAAGGTCATCTATTAGTTCAACATTCTAGGTGAAATTTTAAAAGCCCTACTTGGGATTAGTTTTAAAATCAAGCAAAATTAGTTTTAAAATTAAATTAGGTCAAAGAAAAGATTCTCTAATTCAGCCTTATAAAAATACTCAAGTTGTAGTTGGATGGAACTCATGCACACCTAATAGTCCTCAGATGAAAGGAATGAAAGCTGCCCCTCCTCAGTCCCACCACCACTCCCTGTGCCAGCACAGAGAGGAATTTTCATGAGAGAAGAGTTGCAGAAGTCAGATGGAGAGGAAAGAAGAGAAGATGTGGATGTTTGTCTCAGTCAGTTCTGTTCTTTGCTCCCCAACTTCAACTGACCAGGTGTTTCTTAGCACTACTGGAGATCCTCCACCAAGCCCTCACACCATCCTGACTGCTTGATGACCATTTCAGTGTATTTTCTTTCTGAGTATGAACTCCATCTGAGCCTTGTATGGTTGCAGGGGAACACCAGGAGCTTTGGAGATTTTACCTGGGAGATTCCTTGCAATTTCTCTGAGTCTTTTTCTCCTGAAAAAGGACTTGAGTTTCCACAAAAGTTGTTTAGACCTTCCTGCTTTTTGTGTAGCATCTGAAATTTCAAATTTTTAACAGCTGTGGAGGGTGAATTTCATTGAGTCATGCAGAATTCTTAAAATAAAGATAAATCTATGCTTGCAGGTCAGCAAAAATATGAGCTACAGCTGCATGCCTCAAGAATGTCTTTGCAAGTGGCATTTATGTTCATGTTCATGTCCAAACTGCTGGTAAAGATTACGGGAAATAAGGAAATCACAGTAATTTCTGTGTTTAAAGTCGAATGGATATTAATGATTTTGCTTGGTTCTGCAGTAGGGTGTCATCTTTGCCTCCAGACAATATAAGTGGGACTGGTCTTATGAGCTTTGAGCAAGCATTAGCTCTGACTAAGAGTTGGGTTACTTAGTTTTGATTAAGAATGGGTCAATGTTACAAATGCTGTTGGATTATGGATAAATATATCACGTAATTAAAAGAAAGTCCATCTCTATTGATTGATAGCACCACTGAAGCTTTCATGGAGGAAATAGGATGCTGGAGTTCTAAATTTAAGGCGTTGCACAGTGGAAGCTTTGCAGACAAGTATATGAGAAAATAAAAAAGGAAACTTTTTTTTTAAAGGAATGGCTGCTTTTTATATTTCCCATAAATGGACTATTAGTCTTGTTTTTATCTGAACCTGGAAAAGGAAGAAAAACATGGTTTCTCTCCTCAACAACAGTCACAAGAAGGTTTATCTGCTCTGCTTGCTAATGCAGCACCATCAATAAACAGTTCCTGTCTGAACCGCTGTGTCATTAGGAACATGGGAGAAGAACAAAGTGCAAATTAGCAGAAGGCAGTTTGAGAGAAGGAGAGAAATTGGAAAACAAAATCTGCAGTCGATTAAAAGCTTTGCATTTAAAGAAATCAATTGGCAGAACATTGCTTGGCCACAAGGATAGCGCAGCCTGTCCATCACTCACTGATTCTGTGGAAACAACGTGAAATGTGGAATCTGGACAGCGAGGGGGGGTGGCTGCAGAGGAGTAACAGCAGCCAGGCGAACAAACAACTTACCCCAACTGCCAGGAGGGCTCATTGAATAATTCATCACGTACTAAACAGTTTGATTGTGCATGGACACTGCATGTTATTATGAAGTTGATTAGCTTTTACTCCATGGAGGATGGCTTGTCTCCATAAAAGGTATGATTCATTTATTTATTTGTTTTCTGGTCCCTCAGAGCTGTGCCACAAAGTGACAGGTCAATGGCACTTCCCCAGCATGTGTTATAAAAATGGTGTTATCTGACGATTAGGGAATCATATAGTTCAAGGGAGATGATATTATTGATATTTCTGAGACACCATTTCAAACAGAGATCTCTGACTTCAGATGCTTGTAATGCAACAGAGCTTTGTAGACATTAATTAAAACAGGTTCAATTTTTTAAAGGGTATTTTTCACCCTCCATTGGGTACCTGATGGAAGAAAGGTCATATGGCAACTCAGGCAAAGCCTGCCGGTGTGACTGGAAAGATGCCTAATGTTTTCTGAGTGATTTGAATAGGAATTTTTATTTCTTTTCCATATAAAAATTTATCATTTTGTGTATTCAAATCTTCTGCAGTGAGATTGGAGAATGAATGTCACAATTCTGAGCAACATGTAAGCACTAACACCTTTGGGCATCTTCTGCTATGTTTTTGATGGAGCAGTTTCAGCATGTACATCACACCTGGATTTCACTTGTTCTGTATCTGTTTAACTTTTTTCTTAATAACCAAAAACTTGTAAATGTTCTTTTAAAGCTAACCACCCTAGGGATGTAGTCATACCTAGAACTGTACCCCTTAATGCTGGTTACAACAGAAGTGCTATACAACCCTTTGGTATGTCTGGGGTCAACATGCAATAAGTTCAGCAAGTCTTGGTCTATTTATGAGTAGTCCGATGTATTTCTGCATTAAAATAGCCCTGATAATTGGAGCTAATGATCCAGCCTTCGTAAATACCCCAGAGGTGAAGTTCTGAATGTGCTATGAAACCAAGTTGCCTCCGTGAGATGAGGCATGGACATAAGAATAAGATCCCAGGTCTGGGCTCTCTTCCATCGTGGCCGGTTGCAGTCTGCCTGCCCACATCCCTTCTGGAGCAATGGGGGGCTCCAACACCTACAGCTTCATTTGCAGATGAGCTGAAGAACCCCAGACCTGAGGAAACCAAACCCTGCTGATAATCAGGCCCTGTAGTTAGTTGACTTTTTAGTTCGGTGCTAGAAATGGCCATTTTTGACCGCACCACGCCCCCTTTTGGAGGGCTGCCATCGGGAGGAGAGCTGGCCCGGGCACTGCTCCTTGGGGAGGGATGGGGCTGAAGCAAGAGCCCAAGCTGTTGTCAGTCCCGTTAACTGTCCCAATATGCAAGAGTTTGCAGACCACTGCAGAGTTTACTTGAGGGGAATAATGCCCTCCACCTGCATAAGACTAAACGAAGGATCACCCAAGTGTCACATCTCACGATATACAGCCTAGGTGACTCCTCCAGCCTAACCACTAAGTTTTGGGTTTTTTTTTCCCTTGGCATTATATTTAAAGATCTAAGGATTCAGTCTCGACAAGCCAGACTGTCTTCTCTGCACAGAGGAGGCAGAAGGCAAATATTGTACTCCCTACAAATATTGTACTTCTTGTACTCCTCAGACAACTGTCCCATCAATTTGTTTCACTTCTGACCGGGAGGGATCAACTACAGGGCTGAAAAGAGAGTTTACTCTATAGGACAATAAAGTATGTCAAAAATATACTTCCCTGTACACCTCTCTGCTTGCTCAGGAAAAGGCTGAGACTTCCAAATCATTTTACACAGATGGGCTAAACACTGTCTGAACTGTCTGAGCAGGACTGACCTTGCCTGTAGCAGAACCTGTAAAGATTCAAGGTTAATTCAAGGTTTTTATACTGCTTTAAAAAAAAAAAAAAAAGGAAAAGAAAAAAAAAAAGAAAAAGAAAAAAAAAAAGGTAGCCCTTGTGCTTTGACAGGTTGATGGTTTGTGCAACCTTTTGGCCAAGCAGCATATATTTATTTGAAGTGACATTGAATCCTTAGTGTCATCACCTTCAGTATCCAATTATTGTGCTGTTATTCACTATGTCCTACACCATTATTCTGAGTGTGTTTAGCTCTAAACAGAACACGCTCCCTCCTCTCAAATTCACATTCCAAGCAGTCAGCTGTGGGCTGTGTTTCCTTGAAGATTCATTTTTACTTAGTGAATTGGATGGGGAGCAAATTTAGGCTGGTTTATATCAGGCTGCTTTCCACAATAGAATCACCAACTTTACAAGGTATCTCTGTAACCTTTCTGTGCTGTGTGTCAACATATGTATCCTACAGGGAGAGTCTTAGCCTGGGAAACTAGTGAATGCCCAAGATATGACACTAAGAGGAGCAAGGTGCATGTCCTCTCTGCACTCATCCCCTGTCAGGTTGTGACGGACAGCCAAATGAGTCACTGGATAATAGGACAGGATTGTAAATTTGTGAGCTGTTTTCTGTTTTTTACGAAAATATCTCTTGCAGTTATGGAAATCAGATATCTGTGTTATCAAAAATGTTCTAGCTGGGGAATAATCTGAGGTGAAGCCACCTGATCTGCCTTTGACTTTACTGGAGCTTGCAGGGTGGCTGAGCACTTCAATCACTTTCAAATCACTGCATGAAGGGTGTTCTTCCTTCTTAATACAGGTGAAAAGTGAACCATCAATATGCTTTCCTATACAGAGAGATCCTAAGCCAGTATTTCAAAGGCAAAGTCACCAAGGATGTATTGGGGTTTTATGAATAATTATTTTTATTTTTCTGACTTGGTCTTTGTAATTCATCCCTTTAAAATTTAAAGATGTATCAACTCACAGCAGGAATAAAAAAATCTAATGCTTTGCTTCTTTTCCCTTAAACAATTTGTCTCCATCATAACCCAGGTATTTTTAGGACCCTATGTAAATACCATTACAGCTGTGTCATTCCTATATATGCTTATTTATACACTCACCTACACACACAACTAACGAACTTCTCTTTCTGTCCTAATCCATTTTTTCTCTAATGTTAATTTAATCTTGTCTGCTGCATATTAACTATTAATTCAGGGAATACAATGTATGAATGGACTGTCTTGGATAAATAGCAATTCCTCAACAGTGTCTCTGACTTTTTATGATGCAAAATTAAGTTAACAGAGAATAATTCAGATTCCTACAGTGATGCTGCCCAAGGATGTTGTCATTTCACTCTTGTCCTGAGTAGGAAGGCAGTGTTTCATCCTCAAAACAAATATCTAGTATATCACAGTCCATCTACCTCCTCCTTTCTCTCTTACTTTTCTTTCATTCTCAAAAATCATACACTTTTCTCTTTTAAGGACCTATGAAAGTGCATATCCTATTATAAGTCTTTTTGAGGAGTCTGAGCTATAAAGCTGGGTATTGCAGGGAATAAGAAGCATTTGTATATATTGACTAACCCAGATTCCTTGTAAAAATCCAATCTAAAATAAAAATGTTGGCATAAATTATTTTAACAAACAGATTTGATTTCTATTCCCATTCCCCTTACTAAACTTAGGATAAATGATTTCAGAATGGCAATATTGATTTATTTTGCTTACCTGCTTCCCCATGGCCAGAAATAAAATATTCCAAGAACACAATCAGCACGATGCCTTTATGCTGCATGGCTGTCAGTAAAATATCTGTCCTCAGTGGAGCAAGAAAGAGCTGCAGTAATCTACAGGTTTGGTGCTTGCATGGCTTTTCTCTATTTTCTTTCTTTCTTTCTGCTCACCTTCCTCTCAGTGTAGGGGTCAAGGCTGCTGTCTCATTCTTCTTGTTCTCGCTTGGGTCCAGAAGAGGGTTGTTCTTTTTTTTTTTTTTTTTTTTTTTAGAGCAGACTGAAGGATGTGCAGCTGTATGCAGTGCTTTGAGGGTTTTTCTTTTTTTTTTTTTTTTTTTTTTTCAGGGCTCAGATGCCTTCTGGGTGTCACCCGTACATTGCTTCCAATAAATAAATAAATAACACTGATTTTCTGTGTCTTTCCCCCTCTCCATGCAGCCAGCCGGGGACGGTCACATCCCTGACGCAGCCCCTCGACTGCACATCGGGGGCTGATGCGAGGCGGGGAGCTCTCCTCCGTCCGGTCCTTTGCTCTTCTTTGGATGCTATTTCAAAACTTTCATTTCTGCTCCTCGCTTTTGGTAAAGCTTCCTTGTGGCTTTGCCTGGGTTCCCCCCTGGTAACCTTCCCTACCCCCCCGCAGCTAACCGGGGTGCCGAGGGGCTCCGGGCAGCCCGAACCCCGCTTTGTTAGGAGGTCTACCCCAGTACCACCTTCTTTCCCTTCGCTCCCGGCAGCAGAGGGTCATAAGAAGAACGGAGTTGGCTTTTCTCCTTCAGAGATGATGAGAAGCAAGTGTTTTCTTGGCTCTTCTCTCTCTTTTTTTTTTTTTTAATGTTTTTGTTTGTTCTATTTTATTTTATTTCCCTCCTCCCTCCGCTGTCACGGAAGCCACTTCTCCCCCACCTCCGAGGGATTCGCTTCACACAGCGAGCGCCGGGGGATGGGAGTAAAAAACAAACCCACCGCCAGCTCGCCGGTGCCGGTGCCGGTGCCTGGGAAATCCCCTGCCGTCTCTGCCGCCGCACCGGGGCTTCTGACCGGGATTTGGGGGCTGCAGCTCCCGGGGAGGGGCAGGAGGGCAGGCTCGGGCAGGGGCTGCTCCCCCGGGGTGGAGGGGCAATGCCCAGCGCCCAGGAGAGGGGGGGGCAGGAAAGGGAGAGGGGAGGAGGTGGAGGAGCCTTCCTCCCTCCTGCTACAGCACGGCTCAGGGCTGGGGGTTTCCTTCCCTCCCGAGGGCTGGTTAGTTGTCTGCAAGTTTTGTCTCTGCCTCCCTTCCAACCTCTAGCACATCTCTGCGTCCTGACGGGGCAGTTCTCCTGTCTGGCTGCGAGGGGGATTATTAGAACATGTGATCTTCTTCCTGTTCTTTATATGTGCCTTTTTTTTTAGGAGGAGGATGGGTCGGTTCCGCACCTCCTCGTCGGCGGGGCTGGTCCTTGCTGCGCTCAGATGCAGGCGCTGGTTTTCCAGCCGCATCTTCTCCTCCAGGAGCCGGTGCGTGCGGGTGTGTGTGAGTGTGTGTGTGTGTACAAGTGTGTGTGTGTGTGTTTGTGGCGGGGTCAGCCCGCCCGCCCGGTGCCTGCTGTCCCTGCAGCACCCTCTGCCAGCCCGCCCGCCACATGACAGCGGGGACACAGCACCCACCCGGGCGTGGGGAGAGCGGGGTGGCTGTGGGGTGCTCTCTAGCCATGGCTCACACGGGGCTACAACTGGGCGCAGGCACCGGGTTTCCTTCCATAATCACTGACATGAGCTGGCACAAGCCAAGTTGAACCTCAGTGGGATGAGGTTCAACAAGGCCAAGTGCCAGGTCCTGCACTTCGGTCACAACAACCCCCTGCAGCACTACAGGCTGGGGGCAGAGTGGCTGGAGAGCTGCCGGGCAGAAAAGGACCTGGGGGTGTTGGTCGACAGTCGGCTGAACATGAGCCAGCAGTGTGCCCAGGTGGCCAAGAAGGCCAACAGCATCCTGGCCTGTATCAGGAACAGTGTGGTGAGTAGGGCCCGAGAGGTGATCGTCCCCCTGTACTCGGCACTGGTGAGGCCTCACCTTGAGTACTGTGTCCAGTTTTGGGCCCCCTACCATAAAAAAGACATTGAGGTGCTGGAGCGGGTCCAGAGAAGGGCGACAAAGCTGGTGAGGGGTCTGGAGAATAAGTCTTATGAGGAGAGGCTGAGGGAACTGGGGTTATTCAGCCTGGAGAAGAGGAGGCTGAGGGGAGACCTTATTGCTCTCTACAACTCCCTGAAAGGAG